TGTTCCCACCTCCTATAACCTCCGATCCAGTACTAGCATGATATTTAGCATACCACAAAACAAAAATAAAGTGGCTCGATCCTCCTTTTCCTAGAGAGCACCGCAATTCTGGAATAACCTCAGGGACACAGTAAAATCTTCATTCAATCTAAAATCTTTTAAGAAATCTTTGGCAACATACCTCAGCACAGAATGCACCTGTCATGGTTGACTATATTTATTACCTATTATGTATTAAATTTGTATGTATATATATAGTTTGTATATTGTATTTTTGTAATATTGTATCCTATTGTAAAAATGCAATATTTTGTGGACAAAGACCCTGGACATACTTGAAAGGAGAGAAATCTCAATGTATCCATCCTGGTAAAATATTTTATAAATAAATAAATGCATTTGTTGGTTCATTTCAGACTGGAGTCATATACATTTTACATACTTTTGGACTGCATGTGTACATTATGGCTGAAAGAATGCAGAACTAAAAGGTTTCCCTCAGATTAATGGAAATTTGGAAACCCTGGAGACAAATTAGAAATTTAACACATACATTGTAACTAAGTTAAATCTTCAGACATTGATAAGGAGCTATAAAGTTTTGACTATAATATCTCTGGACTTCAAATAGAATCAAGTATACTAAACAAACAAATGATACCTAACAAACGGTTTGCAGGATTTGAAAGCAGTGGAACATGCCATGAAAGTTTGGTTTAAAATATGCGGGTGTGACCGTGTGTATGGATAAGAAGCGTGAGGTTGTCTGTCTCCATGCCTAAGGCCATATGGTGAAGCTTTGCTTACCCAATTTTTTCAGCCACTCCCCTTTCTGGACAATGCAGCTGATTCCCCCAGGGTAAACTAAGTCCATGAACCTCCAGAGAAGGGGGCTGAATGGAGGATTAATCACTCTCAGCTGATCGAGGTTAGAGATACAGATGCAGACTGGCTTTTCAGTAGGTCGTTCCTGTAAAGGGATGATTGAAATGTCAATGTCAACTGACTTAGTAATTAAATTAAAACATGCATCACATTCAATCTGAATGGCAGATCTGAGGCTAAAACAGCTGATTTGGAGAAATCCTCAAATGGCTATAGTCACAGCTTGGCTATATTAGCCTCAGTTTTGCCATTCAGAGATTTAATTTGATAACATTATATGTTTAGTGAATAACCCTGCAAATATGCAACTAATTAGAGCAAATCACTGTTTTAATGCCATTATAAATGTAGGACACATAGAGAGGCGTACCTAGGATATCTGGCAAACTGATTCGAAATGTATTCTGGAATTCCCCAACCCCCTACCCCAATCCCCTCTGTCCCCGCACCCAAACTGTAGATTTTTATTTATTTATCTATTTAGTCTCTCTACAATTTTCCTTAAGCTATTTTGTTAGGGAAATTACAAACACAAACATTCACGTTTATATACACGCACACACATACTCACATTCATACACATTCGCACATTTAGTTTTTTATTTTGACTTTCATCCCTGGTATCTAGTGGTTTGTGCTGGGATCAGTGTATTCAATGATGGCACAGCTGCTTGCAGCTCTGTTCTGTATGTCTGCACATCTGTGTATGCCAGAGCCGGGGTATTGTTATATTCTGGCTCTGTGTTTAGTAGCCAAAATTAGCAGCTGTGCAGCCCGAACACAGACTGATTCCATCAGCTCCCTTGATGCCTGCTTAGCAGTCTGTTATGGGGTAACTCAGGCAAATCAGGCACTTGCTGTTTTGCTCTACCTCTGGTATGCAGGTGTCTGTCACCTGGCGAGGACGGATTCACAGCCCACCTTCAACCCCACATTAACACACTACTGAACACACAAGAGGCATATTTAATTAAGTTATCATTCAAATTCATTAACTTAGCTGACAGTGAATTTAAATTCACTTTGAATTGGCTTTGAATTCTCACTTCAATGAATAACCTTGATAGTTACAAAGTAATATAGAGTGAAAAAAGTACTCAAGTCAAATAAATTATAAATATCAGTAAGAGGCAACGAGGAGAGTATAATCATTAGGAAGCATAAGGAAATGAAAAGTGAAAGAAGAAAAACAACCACAACAAAAAAACCATGACTAAGCCATTATAGTTTCAACATCTATTTCTGATCTTGTTCCAAAACTGGCAACTCCTCCCTGACCCATCCCAAAAACTAAGTGATTTGTAATTGTGCCACAGAGTGGAAAAATCCATCTTAATTTAAAAATGGCAATTAGATTTTGATCAACAAGCTTTTACCCAGGACCAACATTCCATCTCAGACATCTAAAGACACAGATTTTCAAAAACCCACAACATGACACCAAAAAATGTAGTTCTCTTGTGCTTGCTCCATGACTTAGTTATAGCACAAGATATTAGGAGATTCATCTCTCCCTTGCCCCCTCTGCTAATAATAATACAAAATGCAATTGAATTAAATAACACCAGTTCTTGAATGTCTTTGAACACTAAGATCAGCCTTAAAAGTGCCTATACTATTCATGGTTGTATTTCCCATCTCATTAGTTCACCAAGTACTAAGCAATTGTCTTCTCACCTTAATGGTGTAAATTCTTTTGATGGCGTCTGGGTGTTTGCATGAAGCCGCAAGAGCATAGACTGTGTCAGTAGGAATTCCGCAAACGCCTCCATTCTCCAATAACTTTGCAATGGTTCTTACACCACTCGTCTGATGAGACTGAGATAAGATGCATGATGATCCTAAAATGCCTTCCATCCTTTCTCACTCTTGTTTCTGTGTGTAGAAAAAAAATATCAAACAAATTAACAATTATACATGTGATATCTATGCTGGTAATTCACATCTTTTCTGATAGGTTTTACTATATAAATTATACAACCATGCTACTATTCTTCTTCATGATGTAACGTGTTAACACTACCAGAATTATTCACTAAACCAAGATGTGTTGGGAATTAGCCAGAAAATTGCACATTTTACTGTAAAATATCAAACATGGTAAATAGATGAATTGGAGATTTTTTCCAATTTGGCTTTGTTGCTTTAAAATCTGCAAATCAAAATAAACAACCATGACATTGTATATATTGTAGGATATTATTATGTATGTTGTATTATATGATGTTATGATATTATTTATTATTACTTAAGATATACTCAATGTGTCTATACATTTTAGATTGCCTTAAAGCAACACTACAAGTGCCATAACCACAACAATGCGCTGTGTTAGTTATGGTGCCATAGGTGCCCCAGCATGCCCTCATTGTAACTAGTCAGAACATTATAAAATAATTTAACTTCGTTCCTGGAATCCACTGAGTACCACTCACTACTTCCAAAACCCCAGTCAGATAGCCAGAGGTTCTGTTGCCCAGGCTTATCTCATTGGCCAAGAGATATCAGCTGATGCTCTCAGCTAATGAGCAAGCCCTACACTGCATGGCTTAGCTCACAAGAGCTAATGTAAGCTCATAAGCAGCACTCCAGCAAAGGTATGTAGGCTTGGAGGATTGAAATAAAACAAATACAACATTGTTAGTGTGTGTGTGTGTCTGTTGGTGAGTATGTTAGTGTATCTGTGTCTGTTAGTGAGTGTGTTAGTGTGTGTGTCTCTGTTGGTGAGTGTTTGTGTGTCTGTGTCTATTAGTGAGAGTGTGTGTGTCTGTCAAAGTGTGTCATTTATGTCTGTCAAAGAGTGTGTCTGTTAGTGAGAGTGTGTGTCTGTTAGTGAGTGTGTGTCTGTCAAAGAGTGTGTCACTAAGAGTGTGTATCTGTCAGTTAATGTGTGTGTCTGTTAGTGAATATGTGTGTTTGACACTGAGTGTATAAGTGTCTGTCAGTGAGTGTGTATGTGTGTTTGTCAGTGTGCGTCTGTCAGTGAGTATATGTGGGTCTGACAGTGAGTGAGTGTGCGTCTGTCAGTGAGTGTTTATGTGTCTTGTCAGTGAGTGCATATGTGTGTCTGTCAGTTAGTGTGTATGTATGTATCGGTGAATGTGTATGTGTGTCTGTCAGGTACTGTGCATGTGTATCTGTCAGTGAATGTGTGTGCCAGTTAGTGTGTCTGTCGGTGGATGTGTGTGTCTGTCAGTGAATGTAAGTGTCTGTCAGTGAATGTGTATGTTTCAGTGAAAGTGTGTGTTGGTTAAACAGTGTGTGTGACAATGACTGTGTATCTGTCAGTGAGTGTATGTAATTGTATGCATCATTGAAGGCATATGTCTGTCAGGCAAAGAGCATGTTGGTTTTTAAAAGGAAGTGAAATTTAGAAGGAGGGGGGGCAGCACAAAACTAGAATACACCATTGACCACAAGAATACGCTGTAGTGGAATGGTGCCCAACGTTCCCTGGCATGCCCTCATCGTAAGTAGTCTAACCATTGTAGAATAATTTAACTTCTAACCTGGGTACCACACAGGGCCGGACTGGGGATACAAAGCAGCCCTGGAAAAAAAATTTGTGCCAGCCCCATAAGTCACTGCGCCATATATTGTCGCGTGTAATATGTAAGGCTATATCTTTCCAGGACAGATGATTGAGTAATATATATATATATATATATATATATATATATATATATTGCTTTTCTAATATAAAATATTGGTCCTTTCAGGGTAAAACGTTTAATTATACAGTAAGCATACTCACATGCAGACACAGGCAATTTCACTGACATTTCAGTGACACACACAAGCTCATTGATACACAGCCTCATAGACAAACAATCTTACTGATATACATCAGCTCATTGACATAAAAACACAAGCTCACTCACTAGCAGGCACACGCATGCAAGCAAGCTCACTCACTAGCAGACGCACACACACAGCTTAATGTGGTGGTACTGGTGTCTATAGCATGTCCCTACAGGCTTTTCAACGTAAACACTGACTTTTCAGAGAAAAGGCAGTGTTTACATTGCTTTAAAGTGACACTGCTAGTGACGACAGTCACTCAGGCGGTCACTAGAGGTGCTTCCTGTGTTAGTGCACCTACATTCAGGGCCTCCACACTCTGTAGGTGCTGAACGTTCCCCATAGAGATACATTGATTCAATGCATCTCTATGAGGAGATGCTAATTGGAGTGGCGTTTTGCAGCCAATCCTATGGCAAAGCATTGGATTGGCTGAGATCATCAAGCTTGATGATCTCAGCTATAGAGGCAGGGCCAGTCGAGGGAGACCAGCACGCTGCGTGGGGGGGAAAAAAAGGTGAGCAAAAACACTATTTTTAAACACACATTTACATCATGACAGACACAGAAACACACATATACCATGACAGATACACACCCCATGACAGACACACACACACCATGACAGACCATGACAGAGACACACACCATGACGGACAGACACACACACACACCATGAATGACAGACAGACACACAGACTCACACACACCCCATGACGGACAGACACACACACACCCCATGACAGACAGACAGACACACACCCCATGAATGACGGACAGACACACACACACACACCCCATGAATGACAGACAGACACACACACACCCCATGATGGACAGACAGACACACAAACACACACACCCCATGACGGACAGACAGACACACACCCCATGACGGACAGACACACACACACACACCCACCCAATGATGGACAGACAGACACACAAACACACACAGCCCATGACGGACAGACACACACACACCCCATGACGGACAGACAGACACACACCCCATGACGGACAGACAGACACACACCCCATGACGGACAGACAGACACACACACCCCATGAATGACAGACAGACACACACACCCCATGACGGACAGACAGACACACACACACACCATACAGACAGACAGACACCATGACACAGACAGACAGACACACACACACACCATACAGACAGACAGACACCATGACACAGACAGACACACACCATACAGACAGACATACGCATTACTTATACCTGCCAGGGGTAGGTCTTCTGGGGGCCTTTTACCGCTGGGGAGGTCTTCTGGGGGCATCTGGGGGATATGTCCTGTCGGCCGCTGGGGAGGTCTTCTGGCGGCCGCTGGCAGACCTGTCCTGGTGGCCGCTGGGGGAGCTGCGCTGGCTCTGCCCTCCCGCCCTCGCGCGCTACTGAATGAGACCGGCGCCGGAATATGACGTCATATTCCGGCGCTGGTCTAATTCAGCTGCGCGCTGGGGAGCAGAGCCAGCGCAGCTCGCGCAGCTCCCCCAGCGGCCGCCAGAAGACATCCCCAGCGGCAGACAGGACATATCCCCCAGATGCCCCCAGAAGACCTCCCCAGCGGCCGACAGCAGTCCCAGGTGTCTGCCCGGCCCCAGGTGCCGACGGCCCACCGGGAAATTTCCCGGTATCCCGGTGGGCCAGTCTGGCCCTGGGACCACAGGGTACCACTCTCTACCTCCAAAGCCCCAGTCAAAGAGCCACAGGTTCACTGTCCTGGGCTTATCTGATTGACTTAGCGCAGGAGAGCTATTGGAGATGTGGAATGGCTTCATCCAGACTCAGGTAAGAAATCAAAACATTTTAAAAAGGTTTAATTCCTTACAAAGGAAAGAGGCAAGGGCTCTCCTGGCACTATAACCACTATAACACACTGTATTGGTTCTGGTGCTTGGGGTGTTCTTTTTAAAGACACCAGGCTGTATTGGAATCAGCTCATTAGTTTGTCAATTAAGCCAGAAATTAGTAGAAACAGATGATTGACAGCACAATAGGTAAACATGATATGCTAAGAGGGCAGAGGTTATTCTGTACTACAGAATGGACACAATATTTAAACACTTACAAATAATTATAATTTTACATTTTTCACAGTTTTGTTTTTTGAAATGGTTTGTTCTTTATGAAGTCTCCTGAGTGTATATTTAATATCAACCGTTACAAAAAGAATTACTTGTAAGTAGTCAAAGGAACCTACTATTTTTGTAGAGAATTACATTTCAACCTAATAGTAAGTCCAATATTAAAAAACAACAAAGAAAAATATCCCTAAAAACTAAAAATCTATTTAATAATTCCCTCTTTCCTCTTCCAATTGGAACTATAACACCAATTTCCTAAACACAATCATTCTAAATATAAACCTAACATATTATATTAAAACTGGAAACCTTCCATGAAACTCCATCAAACTTTTAAATCCTAAGCACTGTTCTGCTTCTAGCACAGTAAAGTATAGAAAATGCCTAAAATGGCTAAATTCCTGCTTTGTGACTTACCTGCTTTGTATAGTGATCTAGAACGCCTGCTTGTCTTCACAATTGCACTCTCTAACACAAGTCACTGGTTTATATGTAAAAGAAGATTTTAAGATGGGTGGAGTAAAACATATTTTCCTCATTACCTTTGTCAGAAAATCATACCTCGCAGTCAAGTATCTGACCAAAAACATTTCCTCATATGTCTCTTGTTCGTAATTTTAGTGCTATTTTGAACATTGCTATTTTTACACTTTATCAGTTAGTGATGCCATTTAGATATTTCTAGTAACTTTCTCCTATAGGGAACTGAAACTTCTTCATTAATATTTAGATATATGCAATGTAGGAATGTTTTCTTTCCTGATTAATACAATACAGAGCAGGAGAGGTGAGTAATGACATTTTATTTAAGCTTCCAATTTACATATTTAACATATTTAAAGGAACACTGTAGGCACTATAACCATTTACTGTAGTTGAATTGATCATCGTGTCTGGGGTCCCCTGGCTCAGTCTCTCCATTCAGTTGTAAACCATTTTTGAGCAGTTTAACATTAAAAGTGGGTCCCCGACTTTCCTTATTCTCACTCCCACTGGAGGTGTAACTAAGGCATTTCTTTGTAGCCACAGCAATTCATAGCGACAACAGGCTGTGTGATAGGCTGAATGCGGTCAGCTGACACTCTCAACCAATCACAGCTACCCACTGCTGCTCAAGCTCTGGAGTGCTGGAATTGCCTACCCCTGTCTTACCACTGTTTTAGAACCTGGGGGAACCCAAACTAGTTTTCACACCATTCTAAAACAGTTTGATAAATCATTTTGTCAAATAAGCACCATAAGCACAACAGCAGGCGTTTGGTCTAATTGAAATGCAAACATTATGTCAAATTGTTATATGAAAGGTGATAAGTGTTTATACTTTGAAAATTCAGATATCAACAAAATAGTAGCTGTGTTTATTAAAGAGGAATCTAGCGTAAGATCTAATGCATATGTGCACATATTACACAGAGTACAAAATAGAAAGGTTACTCTGTAGATGTAAGTGAAAGTTCAAAGTGACGTTTAGTGACAATAAATGAATACCCCACTGAGTAAAATCATGGAAAACATGCAAGAATTATATTGCAACCGGAGCCTCTGAGAAATAATCTATTGTTGCCACAAAAGAGTTGTTTGACAGATTGATGGTTCAAACAAGGTCTACAAAAGTTTACAATTTTTATTCTAAAAAGTTAACTGTACCCTGTAGAAAACACATAGGAACTTTCTGTTTAACTAAATTTCATGATATATGAAAATACTTTTTGTTCTATATAGTGGATATTGGAGTTTGGTAACTAATATATTGTTAAACCCTTTCACTGCCAAGTTATACCAAAGGTGTGTTCATTTTACCAAGATCAAAAAATATATATCTTGACCCTATATGAGGATACTAGTATACCACAAATTTTTGCTTTGATTAAGGATATGACACATAACGTGAAGGGCACCTGTCATGCCCATAATAACTTACGCTTTTTTAAAAGATATATATATAGATTGGGAAGAAACCCTATTTAAAAATAGGTCAATGACGAAGAATTGATTAACAAGGGAACACAGAAAAGACCTCTCACAGTTGGTCCTTCTGCTCTCCACAAAGAGCATGATGTGGTTACGCTGATAACTCCATAGCCAACACTCCTAGCACAGGCTAGGGATTATAGGAACGGAGTGATGCTGGATTGCTGGCAATGAAGTCAGTGTGTCAGCATCACAGTGGAGGTTTACCCTGCTTGGGGAAGTGCTTCCATTCACACAATACATTACAAGCAGAAACACACACATGCACTTTATTTGCCTTTTTTGAGGGTGGGGGGGAGGGGGAGAGAAGGGTGAAGGTGTAGACTTATAGATATCCAGCCCTTGCTAACTACAATATTGTTCTACAATGCCCAGCAAAAACATTCTGAAAAAAATCCACTCAAGATATCCTGGTTGGCCAAAAAAAACACACTTCAAGTATAAGCAAAGTCAAACAAAGCAAAAATCAAGGCATTGGTGATTTTGTCACCTGGAATTTAAACAAAAAAATAGATTATAACAGACCTCCTTAGTTCAACTGAAATCCATCAAAAGGAAAAACAAAAAGTTGCCAAATTCATTATTATTCATTATTACTAGACTATTATTAGTCAGGACTCAAGCTTGTAATTCCGGTTCTTACTTGTGAAACAATTTGTACATTACCATACCTCTACAACCTATATTATATTCATGTATTCAACATTACGTAGGTATTATTATGTTATTATTTACATAGTGCCAACAAAATCCGCAGCGCTTTACAGTGGGTGGACGAACAAACATGTAATTGTAACCAGACAAGTTGGACACACAGGAACAGAGGGGTCTAGGGCCTTGCTCAATGAGCTTACATGCTAGAGGGAGTAGGGTAAAGTGACACAAAAAGGTAAGGATAGTATTAGACTAATGACTGGGTATTTCCTGCATGTCTTCTCACATATTCACAAAGGAATTGCTTCACGCTAAAAGCATCATGCTACTCAAGCTGGGTAAACCCCTGGATATTGCCAATAATTTCAGTCATTTTTTTTTCCTTATGTCTCTTTCCTGAAATTTATTGATTAATAACCCAGTGTAATTCAAAAAGTTGCTCCAGTTAATTGGTGACCTTATGCTAAATTGATATATTATACACATCAAGAAAATTCATAATATATACACAATATTTACAACCACTGGCCATCTCATATAACATACACCAAGCACAAGCTCATGGTAGGTACAATGATTATTTACAACTAATTTACAGTCCTGATATCCCATACGAGTGGGGATAAGATATCCTAGGTGGATCCACCACCTGTTAATGTACTAATAGGCCTTAAAAAAAAAGAGAAGAAAAAAAGAGAAAATAATAATAAAAATGAAAAAACAAAAAAACAAAAAAAAAAAATTAAATGGAAAAAGCAAAAAGGAAAAATTAAGGCCCCTGCAG